AGTAAGGTCTTTTAAAATATTTTATTTGGTTCTGATTTCTGCTTAAGGTGATAGCCTATGAACAGTACTAGATAGATAGAAACATACATAAACAATCAATTATTCATTTTCCTAAAGTGCAAGAGCAAATTCCTAGATTAGACCATGCTACTACTTCGGTGTTAGTCCTGATGGTATTCTCACAACGACTCAGTTTGATTGACTAATTTATGCGGTGAGCCAGGATGAAGGTAGTAAAGCCAAGACACAGGGTCACTCCTCGGTGTTTAAGGTGGCTCCTAATCGAAGGCCTGGTGGAAGAGCTCCGTCTTACAGGCCCTGCGGAACTGTGAAAGGTCCCGCAGGGCCCTGATTTCCTCTGGGAGTTAATTCCACCAGTACGGAGCCGCCACCAAGAGCCACACAGTCTGGATGTGCTCCTGAACAGAGAGGCCCATCACCAGCCTGGCTGCAGGATTTTGCACCAGCTGCAGCTTCCGGATTTGGGACAACGGCAGCCCATGTAGAGAACATTACAGTAGTCTAATCTTGAGGTGACCATTGCATGGATCACTGTTGCCAAAACGTTGCGTTCGAGGAAGGGAGCCAACTGTCTAATCAGCCGGAGGTGGTAAAAGGCTGACTTGGCAGTGGCTGCTATTGTTAGAGAGGCATCCAGAAGCACTCCCAGACTACTAACCTCCGGCGCTGGCACCAACTGCGCCCCATCGAAGGTCGGGAGTGGGATCCCTACCCTCAGGCCACCCTGATTCAGGCACAGGACCTCCGTCTTCATCGGATTCAGTTTCAGTCAACTCAGTCTAAGTCAACCAGCCATGGCTTGTAACGCCTGGTCCAGATCTTCCAGTGTAGAGCCAGACTGGCTGCCCAACAGCAGATAGAGCTGGTGTCATCCCCATATTGCTGACACCCCAGCCCATGCCTCCAGGCAAGGGGGCGCATGTAGATGTTGAACAACATCGGGGAGAGTACCGCCCTTTCAGGCACACCACAGGTCAGTGGATGCCTTGGGACAGTTGTTTCCCTAGCGCCACCCTTTGTCCCCGTCCCTGCAGGAAGGATGCGAGCCATTGCAAGGCTAGCTCCTGAACTCCAGAGTTGGTGAGGCAGTGGATCAGTAACTGATGGTCGACCATGTCGAATGCTGCTGACAGGTCTAACAACAACAGCAGTGTTGACCCGCCTCAATCCAGATCTCTCCTGAGGTCGTCTGTGAGGGCAACCAATGCTGTCTCTGTCCTGTGTCCTGGGCGAAAACCGGACTTTAAGGGTCTAGAGTGGAAGTGTCATCCAAAAAGCTCTGGTCTGCCATGGTCCTCTCGATTAACTTGCCCGTATAGGCCTCCTTGAGTGTCCCCGGGAAATTATCCTCCAATAAGGGTTTGTTGATAATCTCTCCTAGGGCACCTTGAAACCCAGTGCCACCAGCTTTCACTAGCCATGATGGGCATCGATCAAGGCGACATGTGATGGGGCGTACAGTTATGAGCAATTTGTCAACTTTCTCTAGACTGAGTGGACTGAAATGATCCATAACCCGGCTCAAAGATGTGCATGGAGCCTTGAGTTTGCTCACTGTCTCAACTGTGGTGGGGAGGCCACAGCGGAGTGACAAGATTTTGTCTGCGAAGTAGCTCACAAAGGCCTCACAGCCAGTATCCAATTCCCTAATGTTTGACCCTTCCTTGTGGCAGAGTCGTCATGGACCAAATCGTTCTAAACAATTGGGCTGGGCATGAGCTCGCAGATGTAATCAGAACTGCGTAGTGTTCTTTCTTCCCAGCTTTGACTGCTATCTCATAGGATCTCATAAACGTCCCATAAGATGTTCTTGTAGCTTCGTCACGGGCATGCAGCCACTGTCCCTCTAGCCATCTTAGCCTTTGCTTCATCAGCCGCAACTCCTCGGTGTACCAAGGTGTGAGCTTAGAGTGAGGGTGCAGAGGGTGTTGGGGAGTGATCTCGTCGATAGCTGCAGAAAGTTGGCTATGCCAGTCCTCTACAAGCTCATCTAATGAATCACCAGGGGGCATCGGATCCCTTAGAGCCATCTAAAGCCGCACTGGGTCCATTTGGCTCTGTGGGCGAGCTAAAATATGCTTGCAGCCCAAACAGGGTCGGGGTGAAACATTCAGACGGGCTCTCAGGGCAAGGTGGTCCGACCATGGCACTGCCTGGGCAGTGATCCGGTCCACCGTAACCCCTGCTGCAAAGATCAGTTCGAGTGTCTGACTAGCCCGGTGGGTACGAGTTGTTACATATTGGGAGAGTCCCAGTGCCACCATGGATGACACTAGGTCCACTGCCTGAATGGAGGTCGCATCGTCAGCGTGGACATTGAAATCCCCCAAGACTATCAGTCTAGGGTGTTCCAGTCCGACACGGCCTCCATCAGGGATGGCAGGCTATTGGCTGGTGCATCGGGCAGTTGCTACACCAGCCAAATTGCCAAACTCTCCTCGGCTTCCCATACTAGACCAGCACACTCTGTGCTCACGATCTTAGGCAGTGGGAGTGCTCTGAAGGAGTAAGCCTCCCAAATGAATAGAGGCCCTCCCGCCCCTTAATCCAAGATTGGTGGAGGACCGAGAACCCAGAGGGAGCCAAGTGAAAGAGAGCTACTGTCTCTCTTCTTGCACACAGATCTTGGTCATGCATACCAGGTCTACTTTCTGCTCAAGCAGGAAGTTCTGAAGGACCATGGTCGTCTTATTTATAAACCTGGTGTTACACAACACCAATGTTGGAGGGGTGTCATTCATCCTGGCCCCACTACCAGCAACCCTTGGGATGGGACATAGGCTGGAAGAGTGCTGAGCCACTCCACTTCTCCATCCCCTTCCCTTATCTCTATGCCTCATCCCACCGCTATACTTTCCCCTCCCCAGGAGCACTGGAATCCTTTGTCCCATCATCACCGGTCCTAGTGGTCTTCACAAGCCTCAGACCACTAAGTTGAACTAGTTGACACACACTTTAGTATATGCTACCCTGCTAGTTTACAAATTCCCAGTGCTGCTAAGTCTCAGCTACCTAACCTATCCTGCCAACCCACTTCAATAACCGATTGCCAAATAGACCCCGATTCCTCTGACCAGTGACCTAAATAATGGCTACGGATAGATAAAAGCACAGTAGTACTAAAAGATGACATTAAAATTTCCTGATGGTGTCACTGGCCTCATGGGGAGGCAGGGGGTGGGGGTGCCAGAAAAGATGGAACAGTCGCTGTCCTCAACCAAATGCCTGGTGGTATCGGGTCCTGCAGGGCACAGATGTTATTCGGCAGAGAGTTCCACCAGGTTAAAGCCAGGGCAGAAAACACCCTGGCTCTGGTTGAGGATAGCTGGATAGATCTTAGGCCGAGGCCGTTTTATGTCTTGTTAAAATTAAAGCCCTGTCAGAAATATACACTCTGGATTTGTCATATTTTAAAATATTTATACATAATTCCATCACAAGTAAAACGTTAAACTTCTTTGATTGTAGTATCTAAATCACAATTTCTCTACTTTATTGATCCCCCTCCCCAACATATATTTCAGTTGAAGTAGTTTTGGTTGTTGGAAGATCTCCTGAGATACAGCATATAACATTACAACGGTATATATTTTAAATTGTGTTTACTAACTATAAGTCAAACATGCTGAACAGATACTAATAAATATAGAGCGTAGGGAAACATCAGCTCAGAATTTTCCAGGAAACCAACAACACCGGCACCTGCAGAATTCGCAACAAGCACCATGGTGGCGCTGGAGCCTTTATCAGACATTACGCATTTTTAAAGCAGAGACCCCTAGGTACTAGAAACTTGTTGGTTTTAAAAAACAGAAGTACAGATCCTTGTACTTGGCTGTTTAAACTTCCATGTCAGTCACAGCAGAGGAACAGTCCCAAGTTGTTATACTGGCTTGAGAGAGGTCAGCTAGAAGTGCATACAGCACTCACGGCCATGGACACACCATGGATGGAAACAGGTTTTACTGTGTCCCTTTCCTGATGCCCATTAATACTTTCTTTTAGTGCTTTACTAAGCAGTTCTAAGCAGGTCTGCTGAGAAACAAGTTCCACTTTATTTAATTGGCTTGCTCCCAAGAAAGGGTTCTTAAGATAGCAGCCATGCATAGGCTGCATAGAGTTTTTCTAGAACTCAGAATGATCATTTTACCTTGTTTTTACAGAGCAGTGCATCTCCTTGCATTTAGCTGCACTGATCATTGTGTTTAGAACTTTTCATACCTTGCTTTGGGTAACAGTGTCCTGCAGTTTTGAGACTTCTTCGCTTTCACCCATTTTCTCCATGGAGTAGATTAAGATTGTGCCTCTAAACAAATCAATTGTTTGGCTTTTCATAATGGAACCTTAATTTTAAAGCTGCCCATATGCTGAAACTTGGTTTTCTGTTTGCTTAAATGAAATGTCATTATAAATATTTGCAGTGGGTCGTTGGTAGCCATATATTTTTCTGCAGTGTTGGTTAGTGGATGATGGGAGGCTTTTATAACTGCCATTCTAGCAAGTGGGAAGTTTAGTATTTGAGATGTTGAAGGCGGGGTTTTGGGGGGGGGAGATATAGCAGGGAGATCAGCCAGTTCTCTTGCACTGAACAGGTTTTCCCAGTGGTTATTGAACCAGAAAGAGACACTGATTTATGGTACGCTTGTCTCACAAGGTCCAGGTTCCAGTTCTTGGCTCTCCCCAGGTACAGGTGTCATTCTTTGCACTTCTCACTAAATAAGACCATCTGTAAGCATCACCCTGTGGGATTCCGTAGGCAGCCTTCATAAAAATGTACTTTGTTTTGCACTTTCTGGGTTTTTTAAGGAGAGTTTTATCTCCCAAAGCATCACCTGAACCATTCAGCTAATAATGTGCAACCCACTTCTCTCGCATATTCATGAAATGGAAAACAAAAATCTGAATAAATGATAACCTGCCGGGCCATTCGCATTCAGTGTTGCAAATGAAGTTCTATCTTTGCTTTTTATCTCCGACAGACAAACAACAGAAAGGTGAATTTGCTATAGATGGCTACACCGTCAGAATGAATAATACCCTTCGGAAGGATGGGAAGAAAGATTGCTGTTTTGAAATCGCTGCACCTGATAAACGCATTTATCAGGTTGGACTTTTTATGTCGTCTTCAAATTAAATTGATAAAACTGTTACTGTTCCAGTTATGGAGACATTAACATTTCAATAAAACAACTCCTGACATGTTAGAAAAGGGGGGGGGGGGGGGGGGGGAATCCTCCTTGATTTGCTTACCCCATACAGTCATATAATAATGTTAAAATCCAGATTAAGTTCTAATACTATCTTTTTGGGGGATACGAACAACCAATATGTCACTTTTATCTATTGGTCCGTTTCACTGCTTATATTTTAATATCTATTATCTAATAGGTTTGCATGATTTTTTTCCTAGGATGAATTATATTGTAAGAGAATTGAATTATATATATTAAAAAGCCCCAAAGTGTTAAATATGTATTGTATTGCTTAGAGGTCTGGGAGGGAGATCTGAGTAAAAGCACATGTCAGCTGTGCAATTCAAGACCTATCAGCTAGGCATCAATGTGGAATGTAAGTTTAATAAGTTTTAAATATCTGAGATTGCAGTTGAAAGCCAGTTAATTAAGTTGTCAGGTACTGTGTTGGAATCTGACAAGAACATTTTTAAGAAAACTGTACCCAGCAGTCTAAAGAAATTCATGGGTGTCTTCTAATTGTCAAGGGCGAATTTCGTTCATCAGTCCTGCTTGTGACATTGATGAAGAGAAGCAGCTTTTTTTCTTACACAGCTGCCAGCTGCTGATCAGAGTTCCAAATCCATCATCCTCTGCTTCAATTACGTAAATTTGTCAAAATTAACTGTACATTATAAGAAGCATCCTTGCAAGAAAGATACCAGAAGACATGAGAAGAATTACTAATGGTGGCTTGAGGAAGTGACAAGAATGCTACTTTCTTTTCATGGCTAATATAGTGCTAGCTGTAGTTGTTATATTTGTTATTTGCAACTTGTTAAAATCAAGTTTCTGAACAGTTTACAGCTGCCACTCCCAAAGAAGCGGAGGAATGGGTGCAAAGCCTCAAGTTTGTATTACAAGGTAAGTCAATTGATGCAAAGATTTGTTGTTTATAGTGTAGTCTACCAATAAAAGCCTTCTAGCAGAGTTCCTGTTAGCTATCCGAATAGGAACTGTTTTGCAACCATGTTTCTTACTTGGTATTTCCTGTTCTGCAGAGTGCTTTCCAACATGTTTCTGTATATATGAAATTGCAGTCCTGTTCACACTTAGTTTAAAAATTGAACCCATTGGACTTACCAGGACTTGCCTGGAAGTAAGCAAGGATAGGATCATGCTGTAAAGTTGAGTGCATCCTATATTAAGTGCCAGCAGAATACAAGATAACAGTCGCACCTGTATTCCGGTACAATTTCTAAGTAATGCAGTTGTGATTTGGGGATTGCATTTCCTCGGCTTTCAAATTAAAGAGGAATGTAATTTTTCTTCTGTAGAGTTCTTGATGTGCTACAGTAAATTCGTGTTGTTGGGAAGATATCTGTCGTACAATGTGTTGTGTTCTTGCTAACAGACATGGAATCTGAAGTTATTCCAGAGGAGGTCGAAGAATATGACGACGTTGGGGAAAGTGACATAAGTTCACCACAAGTCAGCATGCAGCCAATGGAGGATGACATTTACGAAGTACTTCCAGGTACTTTTGAGATATGTATATATGTGTATAATGCACATAGGTCTGAAAGAGTAGGAAAAGTTGGTAATATGTGTTTACAGTGCATATAGGTCTGGAAGAGTAGGAGAAGTGGGTGATATGTGTCTAGCATGTCTCGATGAATGGGGAAGACTTAGATTCAAACCCCAGTTCAGCCACATGGCCTTGAATGAGTCCTGGAATATCAGCCTCATTTCCATATCATGATCAATGGTAATGGCATGCTGATGTGTTCTTTTTTCTTTTCTTTTTTTTGAAAGGAGACTCTCGTTTTTAACCAGGTCTAAGTAAGAGTAATTTAGTTTTGACTAATAAGGGCATTGCAATCAGACAGAAATTGTGAAAATGGTCTCTTGGGATTATTGGCTCATTAGTATCCTCTCTGCTACATAATTTTTTAATTAAAAAATTGACGTGCCTTACAGCTTTGTCCCACCAACTCACTCATCTTTTGTTCATCATTCACAGTGTCATTTGTGTTAACCAGAGCTTCTCCACATCCTCTGTGTTCTCAGCTGTTTCCAAATATGTGGTTTTTGTAATTCCTGCAAAAACACAATGTGGTGTTTCATAGAAAGGCTCTACTGAAGACCTGCATATAAAATTGCTTGGGAGCTTGAAGAAGGGCACTGAAAAAATATCATATTTTACAGTTTAGGAAACTCTTGATGCTCACTTAACTATGATTAATTCTGAAAGATCATCTTGTGTTTTCATGAACTTCTGAAGTCACGTGCTGTACAATCAATCCCTGGAAGATATATAGGAAAGGAGCAAGTGCCTCTGATGTGCAGTGTTTTCCCTTTTAACAGTGAGTGATCAGAACCTGCCCATATTCCTCTGAGATTGCAACTAAGGATTTCCACATCTGCTTCTGTCCTGCTTGGAAGGTTTCTATCTTGCACTCTGGTGCCTCTCATTTGGAAAGTGGAATTCCTGGGAGTTAGGATGTCTTACCATTTTGGCCTTTATCATTTTTAATACCCATAACACACCCAGTGTTTATCTCTGGTTTCCACATCTATCCTTGCCACTGATTGTCAGTGGATAATATTCTGCATCTCATTCTTGGTGATAATTTGAGCCTAGAATCCATTGTCTGTTGTTGCTAATTTAACAGCATCTTCCTGGTTGTTCTTTATTCTTGCCTACATACTGTAACTGATCATGCTGTTGTTTTATTCACATTTTTTAGCACTGGAACAATGCTTGGGGTGCATTCCCTATCTTGACTGTACTTGTTCCGGCAGAATGCAGAGAAAGGTGGCTCTAGAACTTTCCCCTTAGGACTTTGTCCCCTGTATAATAGGAAGCAATGTTTCCAAAGTATAGCCAGTTACCACTTATAGTCTGCTTTCTGTAAAGAAAAAAGCATCTCAGGAGAAAAAACACCCAGAAATCTATGCATTTTGTTAAGAGGTTAGTTTTTCTTCCCCAAAATCATTTAATGTATTGGGGTATTGAAATACACATACAGACCTCAGGAGAACATGAAGAAAACTGTGGTCCAGTGAATCAATTTAAGTGCTCTGGAGAGATGCAGTCCTTCTTGATAACCTGGAGAATATTTATCCCACCACAGAGAAATATTCATGGGGTAGAAAAATACCTCAAGTTTCAAAAACATTAGGAATTTTAAACCTTGTGCCTTAACGTTCATAAAAGTTTGTTAGTTGTCTAAGGCCTTAGGTTCAAATAATAGGTTTCATTGTTCCATTAAAAAAAACAGTATAGCCTTGTAAAGGGAGTTATTCAATATGCAAAAGTGTAGGGCTGAATCTAAGCAAAAGAAACATTCTGTCTCGCGTGTTTTCAATTTCTGGATATTTTAGTAGTGTGAAACAATGATTTGTGCCACCACAAACAAAAACAGTCTTGTGTGGCTTTTTTTACCCTGGGATATATTGGAATTTGGAATTTATAGCTGGTCCATGGGGTCGCGAAGAGTCGGACTCAACTGTGCGACTGAACAACAACAATATATACTGCACTGGCCTTCTCTTAATGAAGCATCCTGCTCTTCTGTGAAGAACATCCCTCTCTCCTTTCAACTGTAGTTCCAGAGGTATGTCTGCACCAGCCCTGAGTGAGAGCCTGCCTTATTTTGTTGTTTTTTTAAAACCCTACACAGAGTAGAAAATACATCCAGAGAGCTCACTTCCTATCCAAAAAGAAAATATGGGAATATTTTAATCCAATTTTGAAACTTGATACTGGAGAAAACTGCTATAGGGATTATCCTAGAGTGGTGTCCATTTTGTAGGTATCATGTTTCGTGGCATAGAAATGTCCCTTTTTTATCCCTTTCAGATTGATGAGTGGTACCCATTTGTTACCTTGTTGAAGGCTTAGCTTCTACTCGAGTTTGGTATTCAAATGTCTCTTGGTGAGAAGGTGGCCTGCTAATTCATTATGAACAGTAATACAGAATAGATGCCACTTCTAAAAGGACCTTGCTCAAAATTTTGATTGGCTCAGTATTGTCATGTTGGTGTACTATTTTGAAAAGCTTTGGAAATTTTAAAATAACTCCATGATTTCAAAGAAGCTTTGGGCATAACCCATGGACTCTCCCCCCCCCCCCTTTGAGCAATCCTTCAGCCCCAATTGCCGAATGGCTTTTTTAAAAAACTGGAGGGACTTTCAGAAACTGTTTGATATGACACATGAGGAATTTCACAGGGCTCTTGCTTTTAAAAGTAGTTCTTTGGGTCACATTTTAACATTCTATAATATCACTATTTAAATATTGGATCGTGGTGGTGAAAGTGCTGTCAAGTCACAGCTGACTTATGGCGATCCTGCAGGGTTTTCGAGGCAGCACATGTTCAGAGGTGGTTTGCCACTGTCTGCCTCCACATCATGACTCTGGTATTCCTTGGTGGTCTCCCATCCAAATACTAGCCAGGGCTTGACCCTTCTTAGCTTCCAAGATCTGACGAGATCGGGCTAGCCTGGGCTATCAAGGTCAAGGCAAATGTTGAATACAAAGCATTAAAATCAATTGTGAAATACAGCATGTCACAAAAGGTAGTTTCTCACCTCACGTTGCTCCTTTCCAAGGGCCACTCGTTTTCCCAACATGCATCCGTCACATCACTTGCTCAGATAATACAATAATAGCGCCATTTGTCACAGAATATACCAGATCACTTTTGCCTTGGTTTGTGCTAAGTAACAACAGCTCAGCCACCATCGTCTGCTGTATGCCTGGAGGAGTCTCCTTTCAGCTCTCCTTTTAAGAAACATTCCCAGGGAGTATTACTTCATTGTTCATACTGACCTTTGCAAGATTTCAGCCCCAAACCCCAAATGTCAACAATAATTGGACTTTGGTATCAGTCACGAATGTAATAAAACCTGTGACATTTTCAGCTTCAGTCTATGAACCTGTTTGGCTCCAGAGCATCTCAGTACCAACAGATGCAATGGCATCCTCATCCCAGGGAACAAGAGGTTTTATGCAACCTGGGAAAAAAGCACATTTTTGGTGCTTTTTGTAGTATTCACAACAGTTTTCTAGCTTGATCTTTTTCAGTAACATCAAGAACAAGGGCCATATCAGTTTACCGTCGCTGATCTTTGAAAACATGGAGGAGGGCTTATATTTTGCCCTTTTGGAAGCTGAATGTAGATACTTTGTATTTGATACACTGTTGTTGTTAGTTTTCTTTTTTAGTCCTTTTTCTGCTATGTCTTAAAATGGATTCTAATTTTCCCCCAACCCAAACTTTTCCTTGCTTATATTAAGTCTTCAAAAGGACTTGATTGTTTTGTTGCAGAACAATGCAAGTTGTTGGGACAAGTGTTTTTTTATGCTCTTCAAAGCTTTCTCACTGAGTGTATACAACTTCTTGATCTGCATCCAGAACTGCAGGGTATGAGAAGGAATGTAGTGAATGTTCTGAGCCTTGGAAGTAACTATTGTGTCAAGTTGTATATAATTTATTTTAAAGAATAATGCGAACATAATTTATCAATAGCCTTTTAAAAGGAAAGGATGACACACAGTTAGAGGTAACATACCATTTACTAATCTTTTTTTACCAACTTTATCTACTTTGTGCTCTTTAATCAGTATGGCATTATGGTTAGAGTGTTGGACTGCAAACTGGGAGACCAAGGGTCAGATCCTCATTCTGCGTGCTGGAAGACCTTGGGTTTCAGTCTCAGGATCTCTCTCTCTCTCTCTCTCTCTCTCTCTCTCTCTCTCTCTCTCTCTCTCTCTCCCTCCCTCCCTCCCTCCTCTTGCTAGCGTACCTCAGAGGGTTGTTGTGAGGGAGGATGAAATAAGGGAGAGAGAACTATGTGCACTGCCCTGATAAAAACATGGCAGATAGCTGATATCACTGTGATCCACAGAGGGGGGAGATGGGGGAGAGTAGTAATCCCTTTTGTAGAAAATGTTGAGGGATCTGGGTGTTCTCATTGCTGCTGAATTAATTTCTTGGGCATTCAGAGGAAGTGATAGGGTTGGGGTTAACCAAAGCAAAAATGCTGTTGGAGAGGTAGAGCCTCAAACTTTTCCCCACAATGATGTCATCCTTCGTGGAATAAAATGGACAACCTCTTTTTGTTTGTTTCTTTGACAGTAACTTGACAGACGTCTATCCATTCATAACTGATGAGAATGTGGAGAGCTTATTTATTTATTAAAAACAAGAATATCTGCCCTTTCCCACCCTCTACATTGGTTCGTAGTAGGAGTAACTATGTATGTATGTTAAAGATTTCTAAAAATCCCCTTATACTATGTATGGATCTGATGCTGTCTTACAGAACCCATTAAAATTCTGCCAACCACTCAAGATGTAGATAGATGTTTCCACATCCCCTCTCTACCTCTCAAGGTCTGTCTGCCATTGCCAGAGGCCCATTGTTCTTCCTTAATGGCATAATTGGGTAAAATATCTCCTTTTCCAGAAATATGTGGCCAGTCTGACACTTAGGAGCCAGATATGATTGGTAGCTTTCCCCCCTCT